GTTTCAGATGGAGTCCTTGGTTTCTCTGGCAAGATCATGGAGAAATGTTTTAACACAATTAGCGACCTGTATTGCTGTTTCACTTATGCTACTGAAACTTAACCACTTCTGGGAGAAGGGAAGAGAAAATATCTCATTATGAAAAGCCGAGAAACACACAGCTTGGTAGTTTCTGGGTTATTGAACCCACCTCATTTCCTGCAGAAAAGAAAAAGAATTCTTTTTGTTCCCCACTCCCCATCCCCTCATAACTCTTCTACTCCATGGCGCCCCCCCACACACATTTTCTTACCTTATCTTCTTGGGATTGCCTAAAGGCAAAGCCCTTCTGCACCCAATTCTCTGTTACTTTCATTCTTCTTTTTTTTTTTTAAACATAATTTAGTTTTCAGTTCCTAATTCTCTCCCTTTTTCCCTTCCCCTACCCACTGAGAAGGCAAGAAAAACAAAATTCATTGCAAATATATGTAGTTATACAAGTCAAATTCTTATATTACTCATATTAAAAAAAGAAAGAAAGAAAAAATATTTCAGTCTGCACTCTATTTCCATCAGCTTTCTATCTGGAGGTGGATAGCATGTTTCATTTATAAGTCCCTAGAAAATTGTGAATGGTCATTTGGTTTTTTAGAGTTACTAAATCTTTCAAAGTTGATTATCTTTTCACTATTGTTGTTATTGTGTAAATTATTCTGATTCTGCCCACTTTGCATCAGTTTATAAAAGTTCTCTGAAATTCTCTTCAGTCGTTTCTTCCACCACGGTAGTGTCCCATCATGTTCATATCCATTCCCTAATATATGGCAACCCCTCAGTTTCTAATTCTTCACCACCACAGAAAAGATGTTACAAATATTTTCATATGTATGGGTTCTTTTTCTTTCATCTCATTGGGTTATAGTAGCAGTACTGCTAAGTCAAAAGGTGTACACAATTTAACAGCTTTCTGGACAGTCTATATTGTTTTACAGAATGGTTGGGCAAGTTCACAGCTTTACCAACAGCTTATTATTATATCTATTTAACTATAGTCCCTCCAGCATTTGTCATTTTCCTTTTTTGTCATCCTAGCCAATCTTATGGTTGTGAGGTAGCACCTCAGGATTACTTTTATTTGCAATTCTCTAATTATTAGTGATTTAACACATTTTTTCATATGATTCTTGATAGCTTGTATTTCTTCCTCTGAATACTGTCTATTCATATCCTTTGACCGTTTTTAAATTGGGTAATAAAAGGATATGTTCTATAAAACTTGGACTCAGTCAAAAGGCTGCACCCGAGGACCTAGAAGAAGCCACATGTGGCCTTGAGGCTGCAGGTTCTCCACTCCTGAGATCAGGAGAGATCAAAGATATAAGAAAGTAGGGATGATAATAGAAACACTTTGCTGGAGAAAGTGAGAGGGATGTGTTAGAAAGTGCAGAAGACTTTGCTGTGGCAATTAGATGGGTCATCTCTTTATACCAGAATAATAGCAGACAAAGGAGAAGGTAATGAAGACATCTTAATGATATGAGGTGAAGAAGGGAAAAGGGAGAGCTCTGAATGAATGGTCCCAATTTTTCAGATGATATGTAAGGTAAGATTCTTGGCCATGAGGGTGGGGTTAAAAGGTGCCTGTTGAGGCTTGAGCAAGCAGGAGAAGGTTTGGAATAGCTACTATTCGGAATGGGATAGCAAATTAATTAGGGAGGAATAGAATACTTTCTTAGCTGCAAGAGAGGGCCCAAATGAGATTGTTATGCAATCCTTTGTGACCCCATGGACCATATTATCTGTGGGGTTTTCTTGGCAAAGAGATTTGCCTAGAATCACACAGCTAGTAAGTGTCTTAGGCCATTTGAACACAGGTCTTCCTGAATCCTAGACCCGAGAGCTCTATTCATTGAGCCATCTAGCTGCCTCCTCCAGGTGAGTT